AGGTCACTTGTCAACCTGATAATCACACCCACTGGGGCCATAGGGCATATTGTTCACGTCTCTGGAAGCAGGCTCCATCCCGGAGTTTATGGCACTATAAAAACAAAACTCAGGCCATAGGGCAAGACATCAACAGGGATTGACCTTCAGAGCCCAGCACATTCAGATTATTCAACACTTACTGAGCACTTGTGCATATAACACATATTCATATTCATATTCATGACCTTGTGTTTGGATATGGATGCAGGCTGTTGTTTGCACTATTGCCTATAGTTTGCTTACCTTGAAAATGAGCCTACATATTATCTTTTCCTATCTGTGATGATATGCCTGTATCGTGCTATAAGGAGCTACTCAAGAGTTGCCAAAATAGGTGTTTTCGGCATGACTCACGTTGTAGCACATTTCCCCCTCTAAGCTGAGGAGGAGGCAGCTTGGAAACCATGGAAGGGGTGGGAATTCAGGGTTTTGAGTTACAGGAAAGAGAGAAGCCGGAGGTCAGAGAGTAAGGGGAAGGAGTGCACTGGGAGAGGGAAGGTGGGCGCGGCCAGGTCAGGATGGACACTTAGGGGACGGAGGAGCTTGGGGTCTATGCTAGCAGCCCTGAGGACCCGCCTGAGCTCAGTGAGGAAGATCCCTCCAACTGCCTTGAACACACGGTCTCGGGGAAGTGGCTGATCCCAGTCACGGGAGTTGACCCAAAGGGCCTTCGAGTCTAGAAGTGTGGGAATCATATGCCGAGTGAAAGCTGAGTTGGACCCGTGGTGCAGTGAGGAAGGGAAGGCTTCTGGAAGCCATTGCTCAGACATTGAACACCTCTGGAAAACATTACAATTTCACATTTACCTTCTACTAAATTAGAGGAAGTGTAAAAAATGCAGGTAGGGGATTTTTAAAAAAGATTTTATTTTATTTTATTGTCAGAGAGAGAGAGAGAGCACGAGCAGGGGAAGTAGCAGACAGAGGGAGAGGGAGAAGCAGGCTCCCTGTTGAACAGGGAGCCGATGAGGGACTCGATCCCAGGACCCTGGGCTCATGACCTGAGCCAAAGGCAGAGGCTTAACCGACTGAGCCACCCAGGTGTCCCCAAAATTCTGTTTCTATGCCTTTCCCAGAAACAGCCCCTACAACTTCTGCAAAGCAGCTCCACTGTCCCCTCCTCGGTGACACACCTGGCCCGCTGCACACCTGAGTCAGTCAGCTTTGTCTAGAAAGTCCTGTAATTTTATATGCACATATTTTCACCTCGCATGGACCATGGCTCCCCCTGGAGTGAGAAATTACAGTAAACAGGCACAAAGATCAAAAACATAGTATAGGTATCCACAACTTTGAAAGTTCTGTTTACACCTCTTTGCTTTTATGAAATATTTATATTAATAGCTGCTTTTACTGCTCAAAGCAATCTGAAGAGGATTTTCAGTTTCAGAAAAAAATAAGCGCAAACATAGCATCCAGCATGAGTTTTGCAGGGGCCTCTCCAGAGACGGTGCACAACCCAAGCAGCATGAGGGGCATCTTCCAGCTGCTTCCCTGGGAATCACACCCAGCAGCTCAGCCACAGGCTACCGCGGCTGTGAACAGTGTGTGTTATCACAAGTGCTTTATCGCCATTCAGGTTCTACATCTGACGGTAAAATGTGTCCTTGGGTATCAGAGAAGCCTAGGACTGATTCCTTTTTGAGTCTGGAAATATGAATGTAAGTCCATATAAATTAATGTTAATTGCTTCTTGCCTTATGCCATGGTGGCTTACTAAGGATTCTTAGGGATGATGGAGTTTCAGACAGCAGGGCAAACCTGTACTGAGACTTGGTCCACGGATGTGTGTATCCACAGGGATGTGGTGAGCAGCAGAAATCAGCTGGGCTCCCAGGGCTTTGGGACACAGTGACGGCTGCGCCCGTGACCAGCAGGGGGCGCGGTGGGACTGCCTTGTGGTCTCCACAGAGCCGCTCAGTGAGGAGCCTTCACTCAAGAGAAATGAACTGGGGACTGGCCCTGTGCTCTCTGATGGGGACTCAGCAGCTGTGTCCCCTCTTACCTAGCAGAGCCCCCTGAGCAGGGATCTGTGTGTGGTCTCAGCAGGTATATCTTTCCAGGGCTGTCCCCAAGGCTGAAGCGACCCCATCCTCCTCAGTGTGTCTGTGAGCTGAGCTCCAGCACCAGGGCTCAGGGAGGGGCTGGGCAGTAACTGCGTGGACCCCGTTTGCATGCACAGCCCCTCCTGTGGCAGAGGCTGGAGGACAAAAGGAGGCCTGGGGCAGCCCGGTCCACTGCGGGGACCGGTGTCTGTGTCACCATGGCCAGGACTCCTGTCCTCCTCAGGCTCCTCTCCTATTGTACAGGTAGGTCCAGGCCTCAGGGAACCTGAGGCAGTACTCAAAGTCACTTTTCCTGAAGTCAGCATCTTGATAAATTTCTCCCTGTTTCTTGCCCCATTAACATCTGTGTTTGCAGGTTCCCCGTCCCAGCCCGTGCTGACCCAGCCGCCCTTCCTCTCGGCATCTCTGGGAACAACGGCCAGACTCACCTGCACCTGAACAGTGGATTCAGTGTCGGCAGCTACCACATAAACTGGATCCAGCAGAAGCAGGAAGGAGGGGGCTGTGTGCTTCTGCCACCCTGTGCTTCCAGACACCTGAAAACCCCACAGCAGTAGGTCTTGTGTCTGCAGAGATTAAAAAAATGAAAATGAGAGATTTCTTTTTTTTCTTAGATTTTATTTATTTGACAGAGAAAGACACAGCGAGAG